TCAATGGGAGCACTGCCCCCTTGTGGTCTGAACCTTTTTATTGTGATTTATTTTCATTTCTCTCTTTACTCAAAGTAACTCATTATGTTAAATTAAGAGTAGAAGATCATGTAAAGAGGCAAACAGCAACAAGACCATAAGAAAACTAACTTAGCATTAAAACATTCATCATTCTCCGGTGGTAACTCTCTGAATATCCCAACCCGTGATACCCCTCCTCCCCTTCCCTCCTCTCAGCTTTAATGGAAATCAGTGCAGGTCCTTCCCTGTCTGACACTGTTGGACATTTGAGGGAAGAAACAGGGTGAGAGATGACCTGATTTTTTCCCTACCATAGCTTCAAAATATTTCTCATTCTGAACAGTGTGAAATTAGTTAAAAGAGTTAGATTTTTACCCAAATTCTCTCTAGAAACAAAATGAAGGAAAATATACTATCTTTCTTTTAATATGTTTTCAGATATGAGAAGCAGCTTGGTATCTGGCTGACTGTGAACATGCTAGTACTTCTGCAAATGTCTAAGTGCTTCTTATATTTAGATCTGGGCTCCCATGGAGACTTTGGCAATTCCTTGTGTTTACATACTAGTTTTCTGAAACTGTGTTTTAGGGTTTCTGGTATTTGTAGCAATGATTAGAGACTGCAGATGAGGAGAGGCTGGGGAAGAAAGCTCTCTCCTATTCGTTGCCTCCAGTTCTCACCCTGCTGATTCTAGGTACCTACCACTTGGCCACATCCTCTCAGGTATGTTTCCTGGATAAAGCCCTGGCCCTGGAAAAATTTTTTCCATTCTTTTCTTCCTTTGCTTCTTACTGTGATCTTGAGGTAAGTGGCTGAGTCTTTATGCTGAGAGTCTGTGGAAAGTAAAGGGATCCTCTTTGAAGTTAATGGTGAATATTACTCTTCCATTTTTCTTCATGTATAAAATTATGTAAAACAGGGAGAGTTTAATTCTCTTGGCATTCTCTTAGCTGTTTCTAGGTGCAGTGTTCCTGTACCTCAGACTGGAGACAGCTTTCTTTCTAGAGATGCAGGGTCTGAGTAAGAGTGGACACTCTCTGCCCCTGTCCTCACTTTTCTATCTGAGAAGAAAACAATAGACACGTGAAATAGTCACTGGAGAATCTGGCTGTCTGTAAATTGGTGCACTTTCCACGAAATCTTATGTTATTATTTTTTTTAATTGAATGTATTTTAAAAGCAAATGTACAAGAA